TTATACACACACCCCAAGTATGGCTGAGCTAGTCTTAGGTGAGGGAAGGGGCACGCAGCGCCGCCTAGTGGCTGAATAGTATAATACAGTTTGCCATTCCCTTACAGACGTGGGAGGGATGGTGAAAGGAAGAATACCCAAACCCAGGTCTGTGTTAATAACTCAAGCTGAAAATCCCTCCCATCCATAAATGAATAACAACAAACACAGTTGCAGAAATTTACCTGGCTCCGGCTTTAGCACTTACTCTGGTGCTGGGTCTGCAGCAGGCTGCTCCTCAGGGCCGTCTAGGGTGACAAGATGTTCTGATTCTATAGGGATAGTCCTGATATGCGGGGCTTTTTCTTATGTTGGGGCCTATTACCCCCCAACCCCTGTCCTGACTTTTCACACTTTCTATCTGGTCACCCTAGGGCTATCCCCAAACAGCTCCTCTGAGGGCAGACCTAGGTTGTGCTTAGCCACTTTGGCAATATGACATGCACCACAGTGAGCTCAGTGCTTGCTACAGTTCTCAGTACCAGGTTGAATTCCTCATAAAAGAGGCAGGGAGTTCCCGAGGTGCTATTAGAATCTTTGACTTTGCTGCAGTTTGTCTTCAGCTGCTTGATTTGCTGTTTGCATTGCTCTGCTGTTCCAGTCAATTCCCAACACTGCTCAGATGTAACTTTGTAGACATGATCATTTCTCATGCTCTTGCTGAAATTGAAAGTTTTTCTTGCCTCGCACCACAGGTTCGCCAGAATCTGGCTGTGTTCCTCTCGCCAACCAGCGGCACACTTGATGCAGGACTTCTTCTGAGTGCTGGCCATAGCTAATATATGTGAGGTTTAACTGTACTTCCAGCTGAGCAGTCTGTATGGAAATGAAGGGTGAAGTGCTGAGTAGCTGCATTTGAACCTAGAGGTTGTTTCTGGTTCCTGGAAAGCAAGTGGAAATTTTGAGAAGGAAGAGAAGGGAAGCACAGCCCATGGAATTACGGGATAGCATTGGCAGACTCTTTGGACCCACATCTGGTGTCCTGGACTCGAGCTGCATCCATATTGCAAAATGTATGGGCTTCGACCCACATCACAGCAGGATACAGCTCTGATCCATCCTCCTAGCAGGGTCTGTGAGCCAGAATCCAAAGGGGTTCCTGGCACGGGTCAGATTGATTTCTGTGTGGACAGAAGGGAGACCTGGTCTTAAACCAGAGCCAGAGCGCAGGCTTAGTGTGCATGTAGACATATCCCAAGCAGCCACTGCAGCCAGGCATAATATAGAGCAGCCCTGAAGTTGCTCGAGGTAGCACTGATGGTTCAATTGCTGACTGGATGGCTCCAACCACTATGCCCACCCCCCCTTAGTTGTGCTGAATGCAGCTGAGGATCTGGCATGGGTATTTAAAGCGAGAAACTAACAATTTGTATAGATGTATTCCTTCTGTCCTCGCAGAACTAAAGTAAAACTCCCAAAGCCTGGTATAGTGTTGCCAGCTCATGATTTTTCCATGTTTTAATATATTTCATATTTTTCTTATATTCCTAGCTCCTGCAGTCATGTTATTGTTAGAATCTCAGCTTTTATTCTCTTTAAAGTAAGTTCCTGGCCCTCATGGTTGTGGATAAAAGATTGGAAATGTGAGCCCTAAAGACTCAAAATACAAAAAGCAAATAAAAAGAGCACAAACTGTATGTTTCATTTTAATTTTTTTTTATTTTCAAGGCAGTCTCATGATTTTTTGGGTACTGCCTTTCAATGTTTAAATGCTTGTGGGGCTGGCAGTATTGAGGGTTGTAGTGTGCAGTGGGTCTTGTGTATAACCTGGATTAGATTTTTTATAGGCTGGTTATAACTCAGCTGTTTCTGTGTCCTGGGAGCTGATTCTGGTCTAAAACTTACTTAAATCAGGAGTCCGTGTAGCTGCAATGGTGTAAGAGAAGAGCAAACCCTACCTGCCTCAATGGGCCTAATTATAGGGGAAAAGATCCCCCCCCCCCACTCCCCAAACCCCATACACTTTCAGCTTGGAGACAACCACCTCCCGCCTCATGACTTTGGCTGGGGGAGAAGAGGCAGCGGAGGGATCAGAGAGGGGAATACAGGCTGCTTGTGGCAGCCAAGGCTGAGAACAGCGGCCTCCCTCCAACCTCCCCCTGCTGATCCGCTCTTGGGCTCAATAGGCAGCGGAGGCGCCCCAGAGGCTCCCTGCCTGTAGGCTCCGCTCTGCCCCCCGCCCCGGGTCTGGGCCGCAGCTGTGACTCCTGTCGGTAGCCGGCTCCGCTCCTCCCACACCTGGGTCTCTCCCTAGCTGGCTCTGAGTGAGGGTCTGGGGAGCAGCAGGGGCCTGGCCCGGAGTGGAGGGAGGTGCTCTGGCTGGAGCAGCAGCTTCTCCTACCCTGTATCCCCCAGGTAGGGTTACAAGGACATGGGGAGCAAGGTCAAGGGGCACTGCTGTGGAAGGAGAGACAAGGGGAGGGGAGGGGCAAGGGGGCAGGGACAAGGGGGCACTGCTGTGGAGGGAGGGCACAGCTATGCGGGGGCACTGCAAAGAAGGGACAGTTACTGGAGGACAGGCACTAAGAGGCAGCTGTGAGGGAAATTTGGGGAAAGGGAAAAGAAGAGGGGAGGCAGTTTGTGGAAGAGTGAATGAGGGATTTGGAGGTGAGGGAGAGAATAACATGATTTTGGTAATTAAATGATCTTTAAATATTCATGGTAAATAGGCCTAATGGTCTGTGATGGGATGTTATATGGGGTGGGATCTGAGTTACCCAGGAAAGAATTTTCTGTAGTATCTGGCTGGTGAATCTTGCCCATATGCTCAGGGTTTAGCTGATCGCCATATTTGGGGTTGGGAAGGAATTTTCCTCCAGGGCAGATTGGAAGAGGCCCTGGAGGTTTTTTACCTTCCTCTGTAGCATGGGGCACGGGTCACTTACTGGAGGATTCTCTGCTTCTTGAAGTCTTTAAACCACGATTTGAGGACTTCAATAGCTCAGACATAGATGAGAGGTTTTTTGCAGGAATGGGTGGGTGAGACTCTGTGGCCTGCGTTGTGCAGGAGGTCAGACTAGATGATCATAATGGTCCCTTCTGACCTTAGTGTCTATGAATCTGTGAATCTATGAGGCGAATTTGGGGACTGGCTGAGAATGAAGGGGGTCTTGGAGAGATGATACTGGCATCTGGTGGGAGGAGAGTCTTGGGAGAAGGAGAGAAGTTACAGCAGGAGTTTGTGGGCAGTGGGGGAGCCTGGGACGGTTTCACATACTATGAAGTCTGGAAGGGAGAAGGGAAAGGGGAAAGAGGAGAGACTGGGGGACTTTGTGGAAGGGTTGGAAACTCAACACACTGAAGGTTGCTGCAGCAGTATAGGACAGTAGATAGAACAAGGCAGCACCGTAAAAAGAGAGGCAGGAGAAGGTCAAGGTAAGTGTTGGGGTCTTGTTTTTTGGGGAGGAAGGAAATTATATTGGAACCTTTTTGGGGTTGCATTCAGATAGACTAGCCTCATAGTTTCTCTGTTCCTCCCCTCATCTGTCGTCTGCACTTTTTTGGATGTGGTCCACAGAAGGGATCTTCCATGGACTTTACACCCATTTATATATAGGGTTTTGGACGACTTACTGTAAAGTAAATTTCACCGTTAGGCATTATTTCCAATTTTTAGTTTACAGAATATTTGTCTCCCCATGTCTCTTTACTTTTTCTTCCTTTTGCAGGTTTATCAAGTGCTTCCTTTGTGACTGAGGAGTCCGTGCTATGTGCAATGCTTCTGCCTCCATTCAGATGGGGGCATTGCAGCCACGGTGCTATGCAGGATGGAGAATGGGGCCTACCTATGGAGAGAAAGGAAATATGGGGGCTTGGGGTGAATTTCACTGGTGTTGAAAGGCATTACCTTGATAGTCCCGGACACTGAAGTCCTTTATATGGCCCTGAATCCACAAGGTACATAAGCATTTGTCTAACTTTAAGCACATAAGTAATCGCATTGACTTAAAGAAAAGGAGTACTTGTGGCACCTTAGAGACTAACCAATTTATTTGAGCATGAGCTTTCGTGAGCTACAGCTCACGCATCTGATGAAGTGAGCTGTAGCTCACGAAAGCTCATGCTCAAATAAATTGGTTAGTCTCTAAGGTGCCACAAGTACTCCTTTTCTTTTTGCGAATACAGACTAACACGGCTGTTCCTCTGAAACCTCGCATTGACTTAATTGAGACTATCCACGTGCTTAAAGTTACACACATGCTTAACTACCTTGCTGGTACCTCTTTACAGAACAGATACAACATGGGCTGCAGCAGTACAAGCTTTCCCTATATGGCCCTGCCCTTGTGTCTCAGCCCTAGAGAGACCACCTGTAGAGCTTAAAAGTTTCCATGATTCCAAGTTTCATCCTTGGCGTTTCAGTTGTGATTACTAACTGAAGTACCAGTTGTGCTGGATTTATTTATTTATTGGTCTGTACATTCAGTCCTACATGTTCCCCATTGAAGTCCAAAGCAAATCCTCCCCTGTGTTCATTGGGAGACTGATCAAGCCCTGTTTTTCATAATAGTCATTGTTTCTGAAAGACTCCTTGCAGAACAAAAAGAATAGAAATACTTCCCATAGAAACACCATCCGTAAACCTTACAAGCTTGTTTTCCACAGTAGATTTCTTTCCTGTTATAAATAATGCCACAACCTCAGCATTATTTAAATTGTTGCTTTTGGTCAGTGAATTGCAGTGGCAGGTGCCTGGGGGGAGGGGATCATTTAGAGAAGGAAACCTATATGTGTGTGCATATGACTTTTAAAATAACTTTCTCCCTCTTTATCTGTATTTATTTCCCTTACCAATAGACTGCTCGCCATAGGTTTATTGATGTGGCCATTGATTAGGATGCTCTGTATCAGAGAGGGGCAGCAACTGCTGCTGATACTGATGGAAAAGGAAAGGTAGTGGGAGGAGGAGGAGGAGAGGGGAACTGAGTTGGTGCTGGAGATTGGCTGCCTGTAATGTCACTCAGAGCTCTGGGCCCCAGCTCTTCCGCTGCTCTGGCTCGAGCTGTCCCTGGAACAGCTCCTAGTGAGAACAAGGCGTGCAGAGCTCCGATCACCAGCACCATGCTCCCTGGGCTTGGATCCTAGATCCCCCCGCTTTGAACACCGCTAATAGCTGCTCTGGAACCTCAGCATCCCACGCCGCCAGACGGACGGAAAGCAGGAAAGGAACAAGGAGGAAGAGAAAAGCGGCAGCCAAGGGGACTAAAGCAGCAAAGAGAGAGGGAGAAAGGGTGCTTTGCTCACACCGCTGCAAAGTGGGAATTTAAAGAGCTGCAGAGAGAGAAATCCCAGCTCCCCGCCACACACACATCGCAGAATTATAGAGCCGGGTAGAAATGACATCAACGGGGAAAGAAGGCAGCGGAGCTCAACATGCACAATATGTTGGACCCTATCGCCTGGAGAAAACCTTGGGCAAAGGACAGACAGGTTGGTTCCTTTGCAGCAGCCGCACTAGGGCTAAGGTGCGGTAGCAGCTGATGGGGATGGGAGATGCGCGGGTCTGGGTTTTCCCTTTGCTGCAGTGGAGAGACTATTTCTAATGGATTTTTGCCTTTGTTTATTTATTTCCTGTTTTTTTGTTTTTTGTTTTTTGTTTTTAAAAGCAGAGGTTGCCTTGTGTGCATCACTCCTGCTAGCGGGTGTTGTTCTGGTGACCGTCAAAGTGCATGCAGAGGAAAACGGGGGATGCCCTGCTGCTGGTAAATTTCGTGTCCGTTACTTCACTGCCCCACTTTGCTTTCTTTTCTTTTTAATCAAATTAAATTGAAATGAGAGGTGCACTGTGTATGCTGGGGAGGAGGAGGAGAAGGACCGGGTGGGGAGGCGGGGGAGTCACCAGCAGTATTTCATGACATCATGATTGAAAAGGGTGTAGTCCTTAAGGTGCAGTTGGTGGGAGAGAATATGCACAGTACAGTCTATGGCACTGGCTGCTGTGGTTATTTGGAAAATATGAATGGATGGTGTTGTCTGGTATGTTTTTGTGTGGCATAGTTTGAATTTAAAAATAAAAAAGTGGTCAGCAGCAGAATTCACTCTAGCAGTTTGAGGTTTTTATTTATTTATTTATTTATTTTCCAAAAGCCCCTGTTTGTGAAACTGGCCCCCATCAGATTTTCCTGAAAGGAACAATGGTAAGAAATATTAAGAGGAAACCTAGTGAGAGAATTAGCAGAGAGCAGGTGCTTGTGCCCTACGTGGCATAATTAGATCTCCTAAATGCATTCAAAATTTGGACTCGCTGGTTGCCTGCCTGGATGTTATATTTACTTCAAGGGCAGGGGAGCAGTAATTGGAAGGAAGAGCGGTTAAAAAAAAATCCCCAAAGCCTTTCCCATTTTTATGTTCTTTTTTTAGTAACAGGTGCAATGAGCAATGGGATCTGGCAAATTGATTTGGTTGGGGGACCCCCAAAAGTGGATTGAGTCTCCAGGTTATAATTTAGAAGGGAGGGTTGGTGAAATCAGCCATAGGGGGCTTCTTTGGGCTTGTGGGTGTTAAGTGTTGTTCATTATGGTGGGACAATAAAACATGATGCATTGTGTTTTTTAAAAACCCAGCCAAGCTTTGCCCATCTGTTGTCTAAAGGATTTAATAGGCGTTTCCATCCCCAGCTGCTGCCTCTGCTCTGCCTGCTTTCTCGCTGCCCTGCATGGCAGCAGCTCTGCAGTCTGCAATTTTCTTAGGGACACAGTCAAAATCCAGATCTTTCTCTGTAAGGAGAAATGCTCTTCTGAGATGATTGATTACGACCCCCCCTCCTCATTCGTTCTTCTCTTCTCCACAAACCCCATGGCAACCATTGGAATATATGGATGGGATGTGAGCATCATATAGTCTTGAAATGAAAGTGACTTTTATTTTATTTCCCCCCCCTAAATCTTTAAAATACTACAACTGCTGAAGGTATCTATCTTTTTTTTTTTTTTTTTTTTTGGTCACCAGCTTTATTCTTCATATTACTGAGTGAACCCGTATCTCTCCAGATGTAGTTTCCATAAAATCCATCCTGGTGTTGATGATAAGGATAAAAATACCCCACCAAAAAATTGCAGTGTCTTGGTGATGATAAATCCGTATCCTGTTTCCATAGTTAATCTCTTGCTGGGCACTCTAACTGATCATAAAACCAGCCCTAGATATACACATTCATTTTCTATCTTCATCACCATTTCTTTCTTCCTCATCTTCTCGACAACCCTCACCCCCCAATATATAGATATAAAATTGCATCTGAGATTCCTGCACATTAACTTTTATGCTCCAAATCCCGTAACCTGATACTATGGTCCTAAAGGGTTATCTGCAGCTTTGGTTAATTTTTTCCCCCTTGATAATCTTCCTATCTTCCTCATAAGTGATTAGCGAGAGGGAGAAAGAGAGAGAGAGAGACAGGCAGGCAGCAGGGTAGGAGGGGAGAGAGTGTGTTTTCAGGGTTGTTGCTTTTGGGCTCTGCAGTTATTTGACCAACTGGACTAGCAGGAAAGTTGCCTTTTACAGTTTTACACTATAGCAAATCTATAGAGACAGGTCTCTGCTTTGTGCATGCATGTATGTGCAAACAGCAAACACATTATATGCACTGTTTCAGGGAAGATGGAGGGATAAAGCTTAAAAGTAGCTGATGCCAGCCTCTCTCTTCCTTACCTTATCCGCCCTTGATATAGATAATGTATGGAGGTGAAATTTGAATTTGTGTTAAATGTACCTAGTTAAATACGGGAAAGATGCTTTCTGGTTTTCTGCATTTTCTGTGCTAATCAGATTCAGGAATGTGCAGAATTGCAGGTGTGCATGTAGCCCTCACCCTGCTAACTTGGAGGGTGGATGGGGAACCTGCAGTATTTTTGTGAGATTACAACAGTGCAGTGTGAGGACCTGATTGACCACTGCGATTTGCTAGTGTAACTCCATTGAATTTGATGGAGTAACACAGTGGTGAATCAGGCTGTGAGAATTTCTTTAGCTCATCTGAAGAGTTTAAGGCTTGGAAGGTTAGGAAGTAAAGGCTTGTTTGGTTGCGTGGTGTGTGTGTGTGTATGTGTGTTTTGTTTTGTTTTTGTAGGGGCCTTTTGAAAGAAAATCTGGGAAAACATTCTTACAAGCAGAAGGAAAACATACAGTCCTATTAGACCAAGTCCTTTACCTTCTTCATTGATCTTCACATCACTCATTTTTCTTTTAAGTGAAAGAATCCTTCACTCTAAAGTTATTTCAGATTTGTGGCTCTTGCTTCTTTCCCATTTGTATTAAATATTATACAAACCTCTTAGTAGCTCTCACCTACCCTGCACTCAGATTGGATAATTTTTAAGATCAAAGGAAGAGGAATAAGGGAGGGTGTCAAGTACAGAATCTGCCACAGTTCATGGCAAACTTACAAAGGATGCTATGAAAGGGGAGCTTTCATGTTCAGTTGAACTCCAAATGGCATGTTTCAGCCTCTGTGTAGCTATAGCAGATTTCCTTCTCAATATCTGCAAAAGAGAAATGTTTACAACAAGAGCTTGCTGGTTCCTGCAAAGAGGCCCAGATACTGTGCCTGTGATGTCAGTGGAAGCTGGTGACATCTAGTAATGGGGAGGGAGTTGGCAAAACTGACACGGAGAAGTGTGTTCAGATCCAGTTCAAAATGCTGGCTAAAGACCGTGCTGATTTTGCTTTAAAGGATAGGCAAAGCCTGCCCTGAGGAATCTACAGTGCTGGGACATCAGGCTCGCTGAGAATGACTGATGTCACAAAGAGAGGATTAAGGCCAGTTAGTTTGGAAAGCAGGAAAGGAAGGTACAGCGCAATGCTGAAAAATGTTTGCATTCCAATAATACTGGGAGTGGGACAACAGCTAAGAAAAGAAATTTTTAATAATTCAGCACAAAAATTCTACATGTGAATAATTTGGAGTGCCGTAGTAAGACAATTGCCCTTTTGTTGTTGTATTAGACTCAATTCAAAGTATCTCTGTCATTGTTTCCGGCAACTGGTCTAGTAACTCATGGAATCTGTATTAGGAGAGAACAGGAATATAAGAAGCAGTGTAATAATTTAATTACCACCCTCATAACATTTTATTATAAGGAAACGTCATTGTAAAAGATGATAATAAAGGATATATAAAGGTGTCTGTGAAGGGGTTGGTTAATGTAAATGTCATTGAATTACACTGTACTGCAGTTAATTATTGTAGTTTTTCACTGTAATTAACAGTAATGAGCAAAAAGGATGTTCTTTGTGTTACAGTAACACACCAGGAGATATTATGCTTAGAAAACAGTTCCGATGTGAATTCTAAGAAGAGATTCAAGTTTATTATTCAGATTAAACAGAGGCTGCTCACCATTTGCCACTAATTCTGTGTGAAATCAACTTTTCATGTGTTCCTGTTGGTTTTTTTTTTTTTTTTAATTCCAGGAATATATTTTGTTTGTGAGTTTTCTTTTGCCCTTGTTAACCTCTGTTTTCCCCTTGAAATCCTCTACAATAATTCAGATTGACTATAGTGAATTTTTATTAGTGAAGGCAGAGATGTGGAATTGAAGTATTCCTTGCTAAGTGCTTCAGCATTTCAGTGGATCTTTCTGCATTTTAATTTAAAGGCCAACTTATACACTTCAGTACTATTTTTGTTTGTTTGCCCTGGCACCAAATGACAGCACCGTTAAAATTTCTGAAATGCTCCTTTCTCTGCAAGAAAAGCAACACTTTCCTGTGCTGGGAATTTAGTCTTTGATCAAGTTTCTTTGAAAGCAAAGAGCATAACATTGCAAATCCATTTGGTTTCACTCACACAACTTCTCTGATATTTGGGCCTAATTCTGCAGGCATTCCATACACAGAATTCCAATTGAAGCCAATGGCAGTTCTGCATTTGGAGAGCTTGCATGATGAGCCTTCCATATTGAGAGGGTGCACTCTTTATATACTCTGTTGTATATAAAGTACAATACTTTGTGCATATAATGCAGTACATATACCAGCCAATAATCAATCATATACTGGTATGATATTGAGCTGTATAGCTGTAGAATCATGATCCTGCTGCTCCTTCTGATTTTATAGAAGTATGTATCATCAGTGTTATCTATACTTTCATGAATAGTTTTGTAGACTGTAGGGGTCAGACCCACAGATGGTTTAAACTGGCACAGCTCCATTGAATTTGGTGACTCTGACTTACACCAGCTGAGGATCTGGCCAGAGAGATGTAAATCATTTGAAGTTTCCATTCAGACCTGTTTTCCCCAAATACATGCAAGTTCCATTTATATTTTTAAACACATTTGTTACTTGGTTTTTAATTAGAGAGGCTATCTTGATAGCAACGAGTCTTTTCTGAATCTGCATACCTTTCAGTGATAACCTGTTAGGACATCTTTCACTTAAGAGATGAGCTAATTAGTAATCACACAATTGGAAATATAATATTGGAAACAGTGTCTCAGGCAGTGGAGGTTTTACAAGCACAAGTTTTATGTGAAATGTTGCTAAGATATGTTGACATCAGAATCAATGATATATGTCTGGACCCCCAATGTTAAATAAGGTTTGAAAGGAGGTTGTTATACAATAAGGGCAGAATTTTCACAAAGCTGCCATTGATTTTCAGTGACTTGGTCTTCGGATGCCCAATGTGAGGTACCTCCAGTCTGATTTTCAGAGATGCTGAGGCTCTACATCTCCAATTGAAATGAGTGCTACCATG